TGAGGTTTTCCATACTGATTTCCAAAGAAAGCATGCAAATGTTCAGACTCCAAAGGTAAGAGCAGCATCTGGAGGGTTTGTACTATTGCCTTATCTCTGAGCTAGTGAAACTATTGACAACCAGAGGGCTCTAAGTTACACCCCTCATCTCAGCTGAATCACAGACCCTTTGAATTGGGCCAACCACTAGTTGCAATGATGTTAGGTACCCAGACCAAGAGCAATTCCTAGTGGCCAGAGCACATGACAATGGAGTTGTTCTTGGGTGTACCACAGACTCACTCTCTGACCGTGGTGAGGTCTAGGCCTCAGTTTTCCCATCTGTAAAAGGGGGATCATATTCTATAGCACAGTAGGTGAGGACTAAGGCCAAGTCGACTCTACACACCTATATCAGTATAACTACATCGCTCAGGGGTGTGAAAAATCCACACTCCTGAGTGAAATAGTTATACTTCTCTACTCCTGCTCCCCTCCGCTATGTCAACGGGAGAGCTTCTCCTGCCGACATAGCTACCACCTCTCGGGGAGGTGGATTAACTACCTCAGCATAGTAATGTCTTTGTTGAAGTGTTACAGTGGTGCAGGTGCAGCGCTGTATGTGAAGACAAGCCCTAAATCCACACTGCTACACTTGTCTTGCAGGGTGTTTTGAAGCTTAATTCTTTAATATATGTAGAGTTCTGTGAGACTGAAGAAGCTAAGAAGTGCAAGGGACTATTATAATATTGATCCGTGAATAATGAGCAGCCATGCAGTAATGTATTCTAGTTGGTATAAATTACCAGAAAGATTTAAATTCTGAGGAGAATTCCTGTAGTAATAGTAATCTGATGCTTTTATCACTTGGCATTAATACAGGTGATTCACATGATACTTTGGTAACATTGCCAGTGTAATTCGCCAATGATTAACTGGGCCTTGATTTTTAACATGCTGCTGTTGTGGAACTTTCTAAGGGGCAAAGTGACGTAATCGTCTCTCTGCCTCTGAGTGTTGTGTAATGACAACGATAGCAGTTTTCTTTGTTAATCACTCCTAGCAGCATGTTAAGGAGAAGCAAAAACTGGCACCTATCACTCAAACAAACCCACTTTGCTGCTGTCTGTATTGTGCGATTTTAAAAAAAACCCAGCCTCTCCAGGGTTGGTGTTTTGTTTTTTAAATCTACCTTCCTCCAAAATTTTAAGGGCAAAACTTTCCTCTCTGCTCCACTCTGCAGAGCTCTTCTCTACAGTGCAGAGCTGAGAGGTGAATTCTAGACATGCACAGCAGCCACATTTTAATAAAGGATATTTATTTATCTTTAATAAAGGGTATAAAACGCTAGGTGTTTAGCTTAGCAGTGTGGCCAGGGCATCAGGCCAAGGCCATGGCCATGGGCTTGCTGTATAATCTTGGTCAAGTCATTTGACTTCCCTGTGCCTCAGTTTCTCATTGGCAAATTGGAGATAATGATGCCTACATTCATAAAGTGCTCTGAGATCTACAGGCAAATAGTGTTATTGTTAGCATTCAGCCAGGCCACATGAAGGGATAGCTCAGGCAACTCTGTTATGGCAAGGAAAGCTAATCTGATTGATCTTCTGCCAATCCAGTGCTGTTTGATCTTATCCTGAGTGAGCTATCCCCAGTACGACGCCTTTTTCTGAATTTGTGCCGGTTGTGCTTGAAGAACCAGAATAAACAGGCTTGTCCACCCTCCCAAATTAATCAAATGCTGCGTCCCCCTTCCCCATGTGATGTAGACATATGGGGATACATTTTCAGCTGAACGTCTACATTTTCACAAGTAAATCCTGCATTTCTGTGAGCGTGTCGGCTGGTTAGAGATCTTCCTAGCTTGGTACTTACACATCAGGTAATGTCTGTGTGTGCCTAAAATATATCAGCCCAGCAAAAATTGGGCCTAATAAATATATAACTATATAAAATCCACTGTTTATATTAAGGATTTGGCTCCTGATAGATAGTCTCTCTTGCAGTCTCCATGTGTGATATCAAGGCAGTTGAGATCAGCTAAAATACTTGCGCTAACAGCCCCCAGGTTTAAATGGAAGAGACTTAGAAAATTTCAGTGAAGGTTCCTGGACTCTTGAACTCACTCTCCTTCCTTTCCATGCCTGACAGATCCTCAACCTATTGCCCATCAGGGAAGTTTGTTGACTGAACTGCTGATCTATTTTCTCATGTCTGATCTCTGAGTATGTCTACACTGTGTTTTAAAGCCCACTGCAGGAACTCTCAGAGCCCAGATCTAGGCGAGGTATTGCTAGTAGAGATAGAAAAGTGTTCTCACCGTTGCACAAGGCACTGGTGAGGCCTCATCTGGAATACTGTGTGCAGTTCTGGTCTCCCATGTTTAAGAAGGATGAATTCAGACTGAAACAGGCACAGAGAAAGGCTCCTAGAATGATCAGAGCAATGGAGAACCTGCCTTATGAGAGAAAACTTAAGGAGCTTGGCTTGTTTAGCCTAACAAAACAAAGGCTGAGGGGAGATATGATTGCTTTCTATAAATACACCAGAGGGATAAATATCGGGGAGAGAGAACAGTTATTTAAGTTAAGGGCCAATGTTGGTACAAGAACAAATAGATATAAACTGGCTATCAATAAGTTTAGGCTTGAAATTAAGCAAAGGTTACTAACCATCAAAGGAGTGAAGTGCTGAAACAGCCTTCCAAGGGGAGCATTGGGGACAATGAAACCTAACTTGTTTCAAGACTGGCCTTCATATGTTTAGAGAGGGGGTGGTATGATGAGGTTACCTACAATGGCATATGGCCCATCTGTGACTGCTAGCAGTAAATATCTCCAGTGGCCGGAAATGGGACACTAGGTGGGGAGGGCTCTGAGTTACTAGAGAGAATTCTTTCCCAGGTGACTGGCTGGTGGGTCAAACTGATTGCTATATTTGGAGTTGTGAAGGAATCAGGGAAGGGGGGGGGGGTCACCTTCCTCTGCAGCATGGGTCACTTGCTGGTTTGAACGAGAGTAAATGGGGCATTCTCTGTAACTTGAAGTCTTTAAATCAAGATTTGAGGACTTCAGTGACTCAGCCAGAAGTTATGGGCCTATTACAGGACTGGATGGGTAGGGATTCTGTGGACTGTGATGTGCAGGTCAGACTAGATGATCATAATGCTTCCTTCTGGCCTTAAAGTCTATGACTTCAGCTCGTGCTGTGGCACTAAGAACAGCAGTGTAGACATTGCAGCTCAGGCTGGGAGGGAGATGGGCGTCAGATCTTAAGCTCCAGCCTGAGCCTGAATGTCGACACAGCTGTTTTTAGCACTGTAGTGCGAGCATGAGTCTGTAGACCCAGGCTCTGAGACTGGGTGCTGAGGGTTTTAGAATGCAGTGTAGACCTGCCCTGAGAGAGTGGACTGAAGGAGAGTTAGATCAGCTCGGTGGGATAGGAAGGTTTTTATGTAGATGATGAGTAAACCTGAATTATTTTGATTGGTACTAAAAAAATAATAATCTGGCTCCAGCTTCTGTTGAAGTCAACGGGAGCAGGACGTTAAATTATGCCTGCCCCATGACCATGGGAGAAGTGCTTTTTTCTGAGTAGAGAGAAGTGTAGCAAGTAGACGGGTGTCTCCCCTTCTGACAGCTTTCTGATGGACGCACTGAGGGGCTGTCTTAATTATTTCTGAAATCCAGAAAAAGATGAATGAAATGCACTGGTGAAACTGTGAAAGGAGCAGGAGGATGTGAGGGTGATGTGGGGGGAGGAAGGAAACCCTGGCTTCTCAGAAGAAAAATGAACACAGCCTTCAATGAAGACAAGCTGCCCAGTTACAGCTGGGAGAAGAACATTTGAGATTAGAGACGGTCTGAGCTACCTGCTTTGTCGTGACAATAGTGTTGAAATTAGTTTACTGTCCTTCTCATGCTACCTGTGGTAGTTATTTACATACAGGTCTACAAAATGCAGTCCTCATCTCAGTCTGGACAGAGGGGCTGACCTGTGGTGTATCTAATGATGTAACTGTTATTTCTTGGTTTTCTGAGCACTATCACTTTAAATCTGAAAGGACTTGGCTCTCCGCAGAGCCAGGCAGCCATTTTGTGTTCAGTCCAGTGCAGACTTTTATAGAGGGGGCCCACATCTGCCACTGGTGCTCCATCATAGAGACTTTACTTTTGTTCTTTGTTCTCTATAAACGAGAACAAAGGTCATTCTAAGTGAACGTTGGCTCTGAAAAACGTGATCCAAAAGCAAATAGGGAGAGGGAGATCTGGATAGAAAGCATGATCCAAAAGCAAATAGGGAGAGGGAGATCTGGATAGAAAGCTACGTGGAGGTGGGATTTCATGCCCTAGCCCCTCTCTCACTGGTTCTCTTACCTATGAAACAAAGAGGGATGTGTATGAGAGAGAGAGTTACTGAGCAGTCTTGCACTTGGACGTGTTTCTGTTTTGATGCATCTCAATTAAGGCTATGGGACTTTTTAACTAGCTTGCTGAAAGGATAGTTCCCAAAGGGTGGCAATGGCAGTATGGTTTTGTTCCTGAATGGCTCCTCTCATCATCTTCTCATAGAGGGAAAGTGACTGGCAAAGACGGTTCTGTCCATTGTTCGCAATGCACTAAGGGTCTGATATTCAGAAGTGCTGAGCACCCAGAGCACCTCTGAACGTCAGGCCATCAGTCTTCCCATGAATTTAAGTCTGGTGTGCTGGATGGAGGGGCCTGGAGAATTAAGCCCTTTCTTTATGCTGCATCTATTTGAAGGCTAGCCAGTGGCAGTGCTTCACAAGATCAGTCTGGCTCAACCCTGGCCTGGAGGGACCACCACTCTAGGCTTGAAAGGATAGTTAATTTTCCGTGCCCCAGTACATCCTTGGCCTCGTGGCCAAGACTGCTAACATGGTGTCCAGTTAGTGCCATCTGTTGCAGTGGTCTTTGAAATATGGGTACTTGTCCACTGGGAAGAGGACCGAGACCACTATATCATGCAACACGGGCAACAAAACACACACAATAAGTATATTAACTTCCACATTATGGTGCTATTTATCCACAAGTCTCTTTCATGGGCATTTTAGTCTCTGTAAATACCAGTTTAAACCGGAAGCATTAGACAGCACAAAACCTCACCCCACCCACCCCCCGCACAAGCACACATCACACCACGGCGTCCCAGTTCTTTGTAAGAACCAGTTTGTTGCTGGCTCGTGGCAGGTCCAGTCTTTTCTCTTCTTTCAGCAGGTAGAAGCAGGTAGGGCATATTCACAGCCTGGGTCACCAGTAAAGTATGATTTAGAGCAGCCACAAGCAAAACGTCAGAGCATCTGCAACGACAGAGGTTCAGTGAGCATCATAAACACACACAGCAGGAGAGGCTGAGCTGAGCCCCTGTTATCACAAAACAGTCAAGAAAGGACTCTCAGGAAACAAGGTACCACTCAGCTTTGGCTTTTACATACTGGACATATATCTATAAATATCTCCTTCATCTTGATGTTCACAGCTGGGCTCCTTTAATGGTGAACTACAAGAAGGGCAAATGTCTCCAGCTGCTTCACACCCAGCGGCTGGAGAAAGCAGCATCCCCGCTCTTCTCACCGCTGGCCGAAGTGCCATCTTCCACAGCAGCATCTCATTCTACCAATGTTTTCCTCCCTCTTCGGGATTGGCCGCCCATCACGACGTGCTGGCTGTGCCAGTCCTAACCCACGTCATGTTTGCCTCATCGCCGGTTCTAAAAGGGATCAGTGAAGGTCTCCATCTGCTGCTCTGCACCTCCGCTCCGCTGAACAGACGCACGCATTGGTTTAAAAAACAAAAGAAAAGAAAAATGAAAATGGAAATGGAAAGGTCCTTGTGCCCACAGCTGCCAAACACAACCTCTCGCCACGTTCCTTGGAACACCCTTGTCCCAGCCATTACAGCTGCTGTGGGATCCCCTGTTCCTTGTAGCCTGTGGGGGGTGGGTGGGAAGGGAACATGATTAAAATGTGGTTTCGTGGTTCACAGCCTTGGTGAGCTGCAAACAAGCAATCAGCAATGGGTCACATTTAACAGGACCCACCCCATTGGTCAGCTGAGAAGGGGGAGAGAGAATTTTCTCTTTCACTTATTTCCCCCATGCAAGGGCATGCGTTGTGGGTAGGGTGACCAGATGTCCCGATTTTATAAGGACAGTCCTGATTTTTGGGCCTTTTTCTTATATAGGCTCCTATTACCTCCCAGCCCCTGTCCCGATTTTTCACATTTGCTGTCTGGTCACCTAGTTGTGGGGAACTTAGTTTTGAGGTCATCATTGCTGACTTAGCCCATTTGGGGGCAGATTGGTCATTGCCCTTTCTGATACGCAGTTCTGACAGGAAATTGGGTCTGGGTTTTGGCTTTTGCAGCCATACGTGCATTGGGGCGGGCGGACAGGCATCGTTTGCAGGATGCAGAGCCAGCCCATTCAGAGTGCCTCTTCGGGCATTGTGCAAAGTACACTGGGGAGCAGTGCAGCTCCCTCCCCTCAGGCTGGCCTCAGAGTGCTAGGGGGGCAGACAGGGCAAGGGGAACTTGCAGTGCCCCCATCCTGCCCAGCCAGGCTCCCCTTTGGGATGGGTTTTATTATACTTCAGATTCTCCTCTTAAAACTCACCTCTGATGTGATGCCTACAAACACTTGACAGCAAACTGGGCAAGTGGCGTGCTGGGACTGCAGCCTATTGTTCTGACTGTAACCAGCTCACTGTTACCTCATGTTCCCCCGTCTGTTTCTTGTATCCACCTCTTGCCTCATCATAAACGTAGAGTGTACGCTCTTGGGGGGAGGGGCTGTCTTTTGTTAGCTGTGTGTACAGCACCTAGCAGAGTGGGGTCCTGATGGGGGCCTGTAGGAGCTAGCACAGCACAGTAATAACAGAGCGTCTTTGCTGCCCTGGCCTTGCCCACGTGCCATTGCACTCAGGGAGCGCAAATGTTAATGTTCTGGCTGCCTGCTGCATGCCCCGCCCCCCACAACATGTCCTTGTAACAGCAGCCACACTGGCCCACAGCATCCCTGTGTCCCTAACACAGATTTCCCAATGGCAGTCTCAGCCCTTCTGGTTCATAGGGGGCTCCTAAACATTTTCCCCAGGTTCAGTGCATGTGGGTTCACGTCGCCATGAGCCTTGCTTTGAAATTGGGGATCAAACCCATCCTACAGCCCCCAGCAAAGCTTAACCAAAACAGCCCCGTTTTGACTGATTTCCACCCAAAGCCATAAATCCGCCCAGGTCTTGGTTGAAATTTGGCTCCAAGCAGCTTGCTGAATGGTCTGTGAATCTCTGGAAAGGAAGCAGAGGGCCTGCATCAAAAATGAAAACAGGTGACTTTCCCCTGCTTTCACAATGAAGGATTTCCACAGCACTAGTTTTAACCTAGCAATTCTTTTGGCAGGTTTCCCCTGTGGTGACAAGCATCACCCTAGGTATGGCTGTCCTGCTCCGTCTGGAGGCATGTGCACTGGGCGTCACAGGGCACACAACTTCCTGGAGGCAACATTTCTTCTGGCGGCTGACTGGCTTTTCTGGTCCTCCCCCGTGCCGGCTCTCTGTCTAACTGCACCTGCTGTTAGTAACTGTAGTGTGTGCAGAGGCAGGTCTGCCTTGAGAGATCCTGGGGAGATTGCAGAAGTGCGTATAGGGCAGGAGAGGGGTAGTAATGGATGAGCCTATGGGGACAAAATTCAGTGGTGCTCTGTGCTCTGCACACCCTTCCTGTAAATGTGAATTTTTCTGCCTACATTATTGAATGCATGTATATTATTTTTCAGGAGAAGGACAGAGTTAAGGGGAATGAAAACATCAATATTACTCCCAAGGCGTTTCAGCAGCTGCGGTTTTCAGACATTACTGGCTTAATAACTTTTGTGATACTTTCATCTGAGATGCTAAAGGAAAGTTCGCATGTTCTTTTATTTAAACTTGTATGAATCTAGTGCTCACTAGAGTCTGCTAACAAGAACCAGACAGGAGCTGTGCAATCTCCCGTAGACAGCTCTCTTCCAGGCTTAGCTGAAATACCCCTGGCTTTTTCCAGGCATGGCCCTCTCTCATAGAGCTCCCCAGCAATGCCAGATTGTAGGGTGGTCTGGTGAGGAGGACAAACATCCACTAGAGGTTAGGATGAGACGTAGGTTATGGACTAATAGGCCAGGATTGGAACACAAATCTCAGGCCCCCACCAGCGAGCTCACCCCTTCATGCTCCCTTCCTCGACATCCATGTTTCCGTGCTCTTGCTGAACTAGCACATCCAAATCTCATGCATTCTAATCAGGGCACAGCTGTGCTGATGGATTTGTAAAAGTGCAAGGAGTTGTAGTGAAGAAACCAATTGCACTAGGTGGCTTCTGGATTCTGATATGAGACAGAGGAGCAGGAAAGGCTTCTCTCATTACATCCCAGGCCTTGCCCACCCTACTCTGATAAAGGTAACCAGTCACTGTTTGCTTATGTCATCATCAAGGAAGCAACGCACTAGTGGCTTTTCCCTATGGTCTACAGAAATGCAGGAGTCCAGCCAGCGGACTTCAGTGCCCAACTTTAGACACTCCGAGAGCTGGGACCCAATCCCCTATTCTTCCCTGCTTCTCGTCTTCTCTCCCACCTTTCTCCTGGGAACACAAGAACTGCCCTTCCAGATGGTGCCATGGGTTCCTGTGTCTCATGCCTCTGGGAACACAGAATTTGCCCTCCTGGATGATGCCATTGACACGTGCTCATGAACTTGGACCTTTGTATCTGTTTTTCCATGCCTGGTGGTTGAGTTGGGGTCTATTTGGGGCACAGTTGCAGGTAGAACTCCATTCCCTGTGACTACTCCCCAGATGGCTATGGTCAGGAGAGAGGGGAAGGAAAACCTCCCTCCACCTGTTTGTCATGATGGCACGTGACCATGACAGCATTAGTTCTTTTAACTTTATCCAGGTGGTCCCAAAGTCTTTACCAGGATTACCACCTGATTTTTCCCAATAGAACCAATGGTAATTATAATGGCATCAATGTGGAGCTCATCTATTTAAGAAAATAATTGTCCTTATCTGTGTCACCAGTAACAATGGAAATGTTTAAAATGAAATAATTAAAATGCAGTTTCCTTTTCACCCCCACCCCAGCCTGGACAGTGAAACTAGACTGGTCAATATCACTTCTTGAATCTCAAGCAATTTTCAAATGCCCAACATTGCAGGGGAATATTTAAATCCTGAAACAGCTTTCCACTCTTTCATTTTCTTTACATCACTGTTTGTAAAACCCTTTGAATACAAATGCTGAATGAAAACTACTGGAAAGTGTCCCAATCTGTATCTTTGAGGAACTTTTATGACAAGTAATAGCCAGAGATAGAGATTTAAAAAACTAAACCCAAGATAGGAACATCCCTGCACATGAGAAAAATTCAGATCCAGGTGCAAATCTTGGAGCCTGGGTCTATCACAGGTAATAAATGGGTGCAAAGAAAAGAGATTAGCACTCTTACTATTTCTAAGTCAATTTTCAGTTTTGTTCTACATGTTGTGCAGATAAATAGACACCAGAAACACATTCTGCTTTTCCAAACTTTCAAAGTAAATAAGGAAGGTTTCCTCGGCATTTCTTAACTAGAACATGGGAATGAGGTTTGAAGGCAAGATTAAATGACAAAAAAATCCTAAAAATTAAGAGCCTCTCTATGCACAGAAATTGCACTGTTTTAACTTAAAGCGGTTTAAAAACCAATTTAGTTAGACTAGTACAAACTCCTGTGTGGATATTCTTGATTATATCAGTTTAGCTTACACTTCTAAATTTACAGCTGCAAGGTCAACCAATATAAGGCCTGGTCTACCCTTAAAAGCTTTAATAGTATAATTATTTTGGTTAGGGGTGTGATTTGTTTTAAAGAAGTAGCTATACCGGTAAAAACCCAGATTCACATTCTGGAGACCATAGTGGTATAGCTATGCTGCCATAGCCTAGTAGTGTACACACAGCCAGGGGTTTTTCTGTCAGTGCAGGAACACCACCTCCCTGAATGCAGTGAGCTACGTTAACAAAAGCCCCCTTCTCTTTTTTCACACCCCTGCTTGACATAACTATGCCAATATAGAAGTTTTCAGCATTGGCCTAGTGTGGACGCAGTTATACCTATATAAAGATGCCTTATACTGATATAGCTATTCCACTTCCCATACAGAACTAGCAATCCTATTATAAAGCACCTTTGTACCAATATAACTGCATCCACACTAGGAGGATTTACCCCTTCACCATACTGGTATAGTTAAAGTGGTACAAGTTTCTAGTGTCGAGAACTTTCAGGATTAAATTGAGTCACACACAAAATTGCACCGATTTAACTAACTCAGTTTAACACCACACCTTTAAGTAAACCTTGGCTGTGCCTGTAGAGATCTCCTACTCAGGTAACTGGGAGCTGTCTGCACACACGTGCAAGGTCAGATTTTGGCAGAAAATGAGTAAAACGTGCTGAACTGAATCCTAAGGTCTTTAACTAGGGCAAACATTCATTGACTTCAGTGGAAATTTGCAGGAGTAGGTAAAACAGGATTTTAGCCACTGGAAGTTAAGAGAAGAATTAGAAGAAAAACGTACCTTGTGAAACTTTGAAGATGAACAAACGGAGGCAACGGAAGCATAAAAGAAAGAGAAAAGAGAAAAATATAACAATACAGGCAACATCCGAAACATATAAAGAACTAGAAAAGAATAAGTACATTGAGGCTACATAGTAAACATAGTAAATTGTAGCTCCCCTGCAATTAAACATTCACACACAGCTAAACAGGCTTTCTTTATTAATATCCTTCAGTTTCAAGAATTTCATTTTGTGAGGGGGAAATCCCTACTTGCTTTTACGTAACTGGACCTAGGCCAATAACAAACGTTGACACTTCATGATCAAAATGATTACCTGACAAAACCTACATTAGCAATGTAGCCATTTCCTGTGTATAGGTGAAGGGGAAGAGTTGAAATTGGGGTATATAGGAAGCAGGACAGGATCACACAGGAAAAGGTGTATTCTATTTGTTAGAGTAGGGGACTGGAAAACAAAACTCCTGGGTTCTTTTGCTAGTTTTGCTACTGATTTGATCTGTGCCCCTGGATAAGTCTCAGCAGCCACTCTGTGTCTCAGTTTCCCTGTTTATGAAATGGGGATAATGCATACCTTTCCGTCAAGCGTTGCAATGGTTGGTTATAATTAATGTTTACAAAATGTTTTGCGATTCTTATCCTATTACAAAGTAGATCAGTATTGGGTCTGAAAGAGCAGAAAAGGCTACTTTTACATATTTTTTTCTGGCAGAGGTGAAGTGCAGCTTTAGGGGGGAAAAAAAAGAAAATAGAGGTAAGCAATCACTGTCTCCTCAAAATTTCTTTCATCCCAGGAAGGCTTTCTCAGGCAGATAATTGGTTTTGGCTTTGCTTTTATTGTGTGTTTTAGCAACACTTGGCAGCTGCAGCATGAAGAAAAGAATGCTGGATATGCCTTTCTAAAGTCCCCTACAATCTAAAAGTACAGTAGCCATGTTACCATTCTGTGCTGCTAGCAGGTTCTGAGCACTGCAGTTAGCAAACGAGTGACAAGTGGATGGCATGATTACAGGTAATTTCTTATTACCAGTTGGTAATGAAGACTTGACAGCCAGCATCATGGCACCTGTTAACCTTCTGAGATGTGACTGTAAGAGTCTGCTGTAGCCCATGAAAACCAAGTGTTCCTTGAACCCAGAGTAATTATGGCTGCAGTTATTTGTGGGCACAGACACACACATTGTAAGTAGAATACAAGAGGCTGAGCTAGGGACTCTTTAAAAAACCATACCCCACTTTTTGTCTATATCGGCTGGCTTATTTAAAGGGGGAAAGGTATGAATTGACCCCTTTGCTCTGATATAATTTAAGTGCTTTTATGGGCAGAGTCTCTGGTACATCAGAGAGCAGGACATTATTTTGAATGTGAATTCAGTGCTGTTGAGAGGCACTAGATTGACAACCCTGCAGGCCAAAGGTTCAGACAGGTAAAGCACCATCAGCAGGAGGGCAACCTTCTCCAGAAAATGCCTCGTCTGTGATCTGAACAGACATCACTGGCAGTGCTCGGGGAGCTTATTATCCAGGATCTGTCATTTTCTGTTGAGGCCACTTACGTGGAGAGCCTTTCTGCTGCAGACACTTGTCCACTAGGACTTGGGCTGAGACCTAACCCCAGCTCATTTCACATACAATGACGGTCAGATGGTAAACAGTCTCAAGTAGGGTTCAACCTAGATGTGAAAGGCTCCCCCCACAGACCATTACCAATCCCCTGAGCCAGGCGGTCCCTTAGTTCTACTATCCTCACTACCTAGATATGGTATTGATTATTTTGTAGATTGCTTTCAACAATTAGTGTAATTTTTTTTTACAACGAGGCACTGCTAAAGCAAATGGGTGAGCTTCTAAAAAGGGCAATTTTGTTCAAACTATCTGACACTCATTTGGCTAACATTTGGGATGGTGGGAACATACCCCAAGGACTGATTTATGTGGGAGTGGAGGGGGAACTCGCACAAAAACATCTGTCTGATTAGCCAGATAACTAAAAATTAGCTCCCTTTCACTGTAGATCTTTGCAGCCTCCACATGGATGCAATCAAAGATTCACAGAGGCTTTAGTCTCTAAACACTGCTCAGCAGCTGGGGAGGGGCTGGGTGGTGATCAGAAAGTCAGGAAGCTTTAGAGCAGAGGGGGGCTGCCGAGGGAGAGTTAGCAGTCACTCTCTGGGATTAGAGATTAGGGAGGCCAAGGGGGAGAGCAAGTACTGGGATCCTTGCCTAAGTGCAAGTGGCTGGCAAATGGCCACAGTGACACAGAAGAGGCATTGGAGAGGAGCTGGCTCTGGTGGGAAGCCCTGACAAAAGGGCAGGAACTGGACTTTCAGGGAGAGGGATGCATCTAGTTGAGAGGGATGTACGGTCAAGCCCAAGGAGGGAGGAAGTGGGTTTTTGTTTATACTTTTATGTTGGGACGCTGTTAGGGGATTCCAGGGAAGGGGGCACCTGAGAGTCCCACCCCTGAAACAAAGTTGAATTTAGAGAAATTGAGAGGGAGAAGGCCTGAGAAAGGCTGGGTAGAAAGAAGCCCCGGGAAACAGCAACAAGGAGTAGGACGGAGCAGCCTTTGGCTGCTGGTTATAGGGTCCCTGGGCTGATGCCTGGTGCAGAGGGAGGGCCTTGGTTCCCAGGCCAGCAGAGAAGGTGGTGTGAAACTCCTGAGAAGGGGATAAGGACCAACGAAGAGCTCTGCGAGGGTGTAATGCCAAAAAGTCTGCAGTTGGGGCCAAAGACCTTTGGGTGAGGATGTTTGGATCCTTTATTTGCTGGACATTCTGTTACCCCTGAAGGTGTGAACTAAATTGTGCCCTGGCCAGAGGGCTGAATTACAGGAAGAGAGATCACTGCAGTGCCAGAGTGATTGGTGGCAGGGAGCACTAGATCGGGAGAGAGCAACTCTGCCACACCTGGCCACAAGGAGGCACTCTGGTGACGAGTCCCCCATCTCTACTGCCAGCGAGCTCTTTTTGCTTTCAGGCCCCAAATGAAACAGGAGGCTGTTTCAAAAGCCATATATGGTTGGTTAGAGATGATACCTGTTTGGTAGCTAATGAGGCCAGCTGGCAATTCATTTAAATTAGGAAAGAGATGGGAAATGTCCCTTAAAATTGGACAGTCAAAAAGTAATTACCTGTGATAATAAAACTGAGTTCAATTATTGTTTGTGGATCCCTGACAAAAGGACAACGTGTGAAATACTAGAGCAACCTCTGAGCCCTCTGCATTGAACCGGCTCAACCCATACTCTTTATCCTAGTGAGCTGAAGAGATCTGGGCAACAGGCAAACTCAGTAAAGATTCCAGCAACAATTCCCATACAAAATGTTAGCGTCTTCCAGGCTCTTACAGCGAGAGACTTTGCAAAGTAACCTTAACCTAAGCTTCTCTCTCTAGGAGTTTACAAACAGGATTTATAGTTTCACCCACACCCTCGGGGTTCTTGAGGAATCTTTGCAGGTATCTAAAATGAGAGGCTGGTGTCTCTTCTCTAAGTACAAAGCTCTCATATGAGAAAGGCAGCTGCTCTTCTGGCTCCTGTAAGCATAAGCTGCCTCATCCGTCCCTCGACTAAGACTGGGACGGCTGTAGTCAATAACTCACCAGACCACTTTCTAGTAATTGAGTTTAGCAGAGCTGTAGTGGGGTCCAGAGCTGGAATCTGAGAGTCACTGATCAGGACTGAGGTACATTGGCTATACGGTGGCTCAGAAGTAGATCTGGGTGAATAACTGATTTTTCAGTTCATTGGCCATTCAGAAACATTGGGGAAAAAGTGTGGTTGGAGTCAAACCAAATCTAAATATTCCAAAGAGTTTTGGGTGAGTCCAAAAAGTCCATTTTGGGTTGAACACAACGTGGTGTTTGATCCGAAACGTTTTGTTTCTGGGCATCTTTAAAGGGGCAAATTCACAAAATAGCCAGAGGAGGAGGTAGGGCTGTCACTGTCCTCCTTATAACGTTTTGCGCAGTGGTGTGGTTAGGACACTCAAATGGGGTGTGGGAGATCCAAGTTGGAATCCCCTCTCTGGTGCAGCTCTCCCTGGGCAGGTGAGTACCCTAACCTAGCCTATAGGCTAGTCTGTGATGGGCCTCCCTCAATCTCCTGTTGAAGCTGTCCTGCTTGGTCTAAAATATAGGAGCAGAATTTGGGCCAGAGAGAGAATGACTCTATAGCCTGAGCACTCACCGATGACATAGGGTGGGAAGAAGACCCAAACTGAAGTCCCTTGTCCTCACTTCAATGAATATTTATACAAAGTGGAACAGCTACAATGTGCCCAGCTCTACTCAGGCCCAGAGCGGCGGGGAGAGTCACAGTTCAGGATACAACCGCAACTACAAAGCTACATTAGGCGGCCAAAGCCTTTTTCAGCACACAGTGCCTCACACCTGTATCTAGCCAGTAAGACTGGCACTAGTCCTTCACTAAAAACACACAAAAACCAAAAGCAAAATGATGGCCCAAAACAAGGACCTAGGACTCTCCCTTTCCCTGGCCCCTTTTTTCATTGCTGGCCCCATTACCCTTAGATATGATGCACTTTCTGATGCCTTTTCTCCCTCCCCCCAAAAACCCACCATGATCCATATAATGGCACATCTATAGGTCCTTATGCCAGCTCAGTGAGGGGTGGGGAGGGAGGGACATTCTTGTGAGATGATGCCAAGTCAGAAGCTAACCCAAGCTCCAGCTGCTAGATTGTCACTAGTTGTTGTCACGCGTATTTCCTTGGAGAATAAAATGTGCTTTTGACGTCTCTCACCCTCCCTGCGCAGAACAAACAGAGCAGCACTCGCTAAATCCTGCTGTTATGTTCTGGCACCTCTTGGCCTGAACTTAATCACCTGCCTCCTTCTGCTTGGCAGATGTGTGTTGCTCTTGGAGATGGTATCTGCCAGCTTTCAAATTCATCAGAGGGAACTACACTGGCAACAGGAGCCACTTGTGACAGATACTTCCCAGCTGCACCTTCCTTCCTAGCAACCAGGCTGGAAAATTACTCAGAGCCTCTTGAGACCCAGCCTTTCTGCCTGCTGCCCAGATGATTGGCATTGCATTATCCACTCACCAATGGGACTTGGGGCTCATCTTCACTATGGAGTTATAGCTCTATAGATGCAGTGGTGCAGCTATGCCGCAGTCACCCCGCAGTGCAGATGCGTCCTATAGCAATGGAAGGGGTTTTTCCATCGCTATAGGAACTCCACCTCCCTGAACGGCAGTAACTAGGTTGACAGAGGCATTCTTCCATCGACTGAGCTGTGTCTACCCCAGGGGTTAGGCTGGCATAGCTACAGTAAATTAGAGAGGCATAGTTGGGCCTTGCCTAGATCCTAGACTATGGGAAAAGGTGCTTTTTTGATGAAGTTGGTTCAACTGAGCTAGTTTAACCTGATTGAAAACTCCACTTAGCACTAGTATTAGACATAGTTTAACACTTTAGCTTGATTTTTATCAGGTCAAGTTATAACCTAGGTGTAAAATAAGGAGACAAAACAAGGTTAGCTAACTGGATGTTCTAATTTGTTTTCTTTAGGCTATGGCTACACCACAAACTTTGGTCAATGCAAGTGAAATCAGCATGCAGCTGCCAAAGTTTGTATATCACTCGGGCAGATGAATAATTTGCTTCTTGCGTCGACACTGTGCCAACTCACCAGGAATGCTTGCATCAAGGCAAAGTGCGGTGCATCACCGGTAGGTAATCCAGTATGCCATGCACTACCATCTGGTGCAATACCTTTTGGGAAATTTTCACAGTAGAAATGACTCATCCATGGGTCTCTAGGAGGTAGAGGTCAAGTTCCCAGCATTCATCTTCTTTCATCCCATAATGCCATACATATGCCATCATTTTTGTGCCTTTTAAAAAAAATCCTGCAAACCCATCCAACAGTTTTTGGAGTCCGCCATCTTGGATGGAGCCTGCAGAGCTCTGTACTATTCTCATGAGCATTGCAAGTACAGGATGCATGATCCTTCTGTATTTGCAGCCCTACAGTAAGTACCACAGCAGCAGAGGACATGGTTTCTTCTAGGACAGTTTGCTAAGGGACATAGCAAAAACCAATAAAAGGTTGTTAATGAAGCAGCTGCTGATGGTGGAACACCACTTCTGGGCCCGAGAAATGAGCACTGACTGGGGGGAACACATTGTAATGCAGGTTTGGGATGACGAGCAGTGGCTGCAGAACTTTCAGACGTGAAAGGCCACTTTCCTAGATCTGGGCCGAGCTTGCCCCAGCCCTCCAATGCAGGGACACTATAACGAGAACTGCACTGACGGTAGAGAAGCAAGTGGCCATCACACTCCAGAATCTTGCAATGTTGGATTGCTACCAGTCAGTGAGAAATCATTTTCATTTTGAAGCTGGAAAATCCACAGTGGCGGCCGTCATCATGATTAATGTAGGATCATTAATCATATCCAACTATGCAGGACCATGACTCTCAGCAATGAACAGGACATAATGGATGGATTTGCTGCAATGGGGTTCCTGAACTGTTGCTGGGCAATAGACGGCACACATACCCCTATTTTGGCACCAGCCCACCTGGCCACAGAGTTCATCAACAGAAAGGGCTACTTTTCTATGGTTATGCAAGCATTGGTGGATCACCAGAGATGCTTCTCCACAAGCAATGTGGGCTGGTCAGGGAAGGTGTATGATGCTCACATCTTTAAGAAAACTGGACTGTTCAGAAAGCTCCAACCATGGTCATTCTTTCCTGACTGGTGGATTACCACTGACAATATTGAAATGCCTACAGTGATTCTGGGGAACCCACCCTGCCCCTGGCTCATGAAGCTGTACACCAGCCACTTGAGAGCACAAAGGAAAGATTCAACTCCCTGCTCAGCAAGTGCGCAATGACAGTTGAATGTGCTTTTGGTTGCCTGCAGTGTTTACTCACTTAGACAGGAGCTCAGTGAGAACGACAGCCCAATGGTTATAGCGGCCTGTTGTGTCTTGCGTAATATCTGTGAAGCAAAGAGGGACAAGCTGCCACCAGGGTGGAGTGTGAGCTGCTGCCTGCGGCCTTTGAGCAGCCAGAGGCCATTACAAGAACCCAGCGGGGAGCTATGCAGTTGCGGGAGGCTTTGAAAGAGCACTTTAACAGTCAGCCGCAGTAGTGTTCTCTACTGGCATGTTCTCTGGGCCTTTGGGTGCCGCTAAGATTTGCTGTGTATTTATAACAAGGACTCAGTGTTTTCCTGATGCTCTGAATTACGTGGTACTTGCTGTACATTTACAAGTACCGTTCCCTTTGAGTGCTGCTGTGTATTCTGCAGTATGCGTTGTCAATGAATAAAGATAATTTTATTCTCCAAAAATGGGGCTGGAGATGAGGGGTTTGGGGTGCAGTAGGGCACTTAGGGCTGGGGCAGAGGGTTGGGGTCTAGGGGGGTGAGGGCGCCGGCTGATAGTGTGGGCTCTGGGGTGGAGCTGGGGATGAGGGGTTTGGGGTGCAGGCTGCCCCGGAGCTGTGGTGGGGAGAGAGGACTCCCCCCAGCCCTCTCTCGCCGCAGTAGCCCGGGGCTGAGAGAGAGGTGCCTCTCCCCAGCCAGGGCAGCTCCAGGGCTTGGGCTGGGGGAGAGGTGCCTCTCCCCGGCCGCAGCAGCTCTGGGACTGGGGCTGGGGGAGAGGCGCTTCTCCCCCCTGCACACCTGCACGTTCCTTGATAGCCTGCTGCGCGGCCATGTGACTGCGCAGCTTAGAGGGAACTTAACCTCCCAGGTATCCTCAGTGGTCTGCTGGGTGGGGTCTCCGCCAAGTCTGACATGCCGCTCGTTGTAAAAGCAGTAGATCTATGAGGCACTACCAGATCTATTGTTGACCTTCCTGGCCTTGTGGTATGCCTGGCCAAGTTCCTTTGCTTGCACAAAGCACTGCTGCTGATCCCTGTCATACCCCTTTTCCTGCATCTCCTGTTCATAGATATCCATGTTCCTACCTGGTCCGTAGCTGTGCTTGCACAGCCGCTTCTCCCCACAGGCCCAGGAGATCCAAAACCTCCTGTCTGCTCCTGGCAAGAGCAAGTTTAGCACATGGAGCCAGCACAGTCGGTTGGGGAGTTGCACACGAGGGTGAACTACTTGGTGTGCTCACAAAGGTGAGCGATGTGGAAAAGGCATTTCAAAAACATGCGGAGGACTTTAAAGGGAGATGCTGCCAGTCTCCGTGGCCCCTAGGCAGTGGAGGTTACAATGGTGACCAGAGTGGTCAGTGCTGCAGGGCACGGGGCATTATGGAACAGCTGCTGGAAGACTGTTCAGGTTGGCACAGGCTACATAGTGTCTGTACTTGCACTGCACTGACCTCAGTAGCTTGACCATGGCCCCATGCTGTTCAGGGAGGTGGTTTGACTGCGTCACTGTAAAGTGACACTTCAATCGGCTGGAGACAAATTTCAGTGTAGACGCATGCACTTACATTGACCTAACTGTCTAGTGTAGACCAGGCCTTTTAGAGATGCATTTGTCTCTTTCTTCCCCTGAGACTGTGGTCTTTCTTGGTGTTTCAAGGTCTCAAAGGGGGACTTTTACATTGGAGAAAACTTTAAGATGCATTGATAACCCCGTTTGCCTACAAATTGAATGAGATCCTAAGAAACCTTTGGATAAATGGGATTTATGAGGAAGTGGGGAGTCAGCCACTCAGAGAGTGAGGAGGATTCAGGGCATCTGTGGAGGTAGCTACCTGAGGCTTTGTCTACACTATGAGCACAGTTGAGCCAGGCAGAGTACAACCCCATGGTAGGTACGTACTCCGCACGGCTCAGCAGTGCCTCCACTGCCACTACTCATGCGACCACGGCTACACTGCTGTTTATACTCATGATAGCTTCATGACAGCTAATTTTATGTGTACACGAGCAGGAGACTCAGACCCCTAGTGCATAGTGTAGATGTAGTCTAAAAGTACACCACCAGAGAATCTAACTAAACTTGGGTTCACCTCAGTTAGCTGAAGTATGGTTAAATGGTAGGATGCCGCGGGACTGCTGAGGGCAACTTTCCAAATGTGAATCAACACCATGCTGTCCATTTGAGTGTGCAGAGAGGCTGTGGAACAATCGCTCAAGGAAGTGGGGACTACTTCTGTTGAGTGCAACACTGTTCACTCTGAAGCATAATGATTCCAATTGAAAGGTGAACTTTGTTAAGCATCTTACAGAAACATTCAGCTACATCTGGGACTGGAGCAGAGCTTGATATAATGGGAAGAAATCAAGCAAATGTCACCACTAGCCTCCTGATAGTGCTGGGGCAGATCCGCTCTTTATGTCTCTTTTCCCTCTGTTTCAGTGTGAATGTCCCCATTTAATGCAAACTGCCTGGTACTGTTTCCACTTTCCTCATTTCCCGGGCTGGGGTCCAGGATGCTAGCTGAGCCCTAACAACATGGGGGTGGAGACAATGATCTCACCGTACTTACTAGCAAGAATGACCATGTCCATCCCCCAAAATATACTCATGATCCAGCCAACCATCACGATAGCTGTCAGAATCTGAATCAGCGCCGCGGCGATGTTCAGCCAGAAGACGCAGCACATGTGCCTGTCAGGGAGGTCAGTCCGGGCTCCGCACAGCACAGTGAAGGCAGACACGAATGTCCCTGTGGAAACAGCAACAGTAAACACTCAGTGGAGAGCCTGACATAGAAACGGCAGGAGCCGGGATGTGAGCGCCTCCCCAGAAAACAGCGAAGCTCCTTCCAGACCCCCCACCAAACTCTTGTTTTAGATCTGGTGTTCACAGCATCCCTCTTTTTAGTGCTGCCACTATAGAAATGCTACAAGCATGAAACTGTTCACAAAACGCCTCACAGTATTTGCCCAGACATCTCAAGAGGTGTTGACTCCTTCCGAGAAACAAAGGCTCAATCAAACTGAGGCTGCACCTTGATTGTACAGATCAGCCAGCTCTCTAGGGGACACAGTCCAGCTGCTGGGCATACCCTGGGATTGGAGCATCCAGAGTACAGCCTGCACTGGATTGTCAGGAAACTGGCTGCCACAGCCCCCTTCATCTGGTTGGCCTTTGGCAAGGCAGGCAGCCTCCTCTCACTGTGCCCTGGCCTCACTTCCCCAGTATCTGCCCCAGGAACACTACATACAGCATCACCTCAAGGCTTCAGCTAGGCAAGACTGTGCTGCATTTAGTGGCCAGACAATATGGTGATGAGTGCCACAGAAGTGCATGGAATAATCATCCATTAAGAATAACTTAGCAATAACCAAGTGCCACTGAATTTAAAACTCCAACCTTCCTTTTATGGAAGTATCGCGCCCTGTAGGGACACATTGCTGCATGTTTTAATAAGCAAGTCTGCCTCTCTATTCAGGTCTTGGTGGGCTGAGATCTCCTCACCCCTCACACACAGACTAGCAAAGTTATGAATTTAAGCTCCCAGGCTTGTCTTTTGAAAGTGTCATGCAGGTTTCCTTTGAGGATGAGGACTGAGAGGTCAGATGTAGAGTGATCACTGTGTGATAAGTGTTCCCCCATAGGTGATAGGGTGTTTTTGTCTTTTATCGTTTTCCTGTGCGAGTTCATTTGAGAGCGTAGTGATTGTCTCATTTCACCCCCAGAGTTGCTATTGGAGCATTAAGAGCATTGGATGCGGTACACCACATGTGATAGGCATGTGTAGGACCCATGGCTCTTGAAAGTTGTGTTGTGGGAGGTACTGATGATTGTAGCAGTGGAGATATGTCTGCAGGTTTTGCATCTATTGTTCTGGCAGGGTCTGGTGCTGCTTTGAGTTGGTGGGTCCTGGTCTGTGGGGAGCTTGCTTTTGATGATGAACTTGGAGATGGTGGTGGCAGGAGCGCTGCCAGCTTTTCTGCTGCCTTAGTTGGCAAAAGGTCCCGCCCCCCACAGAGGCAGTGGAAGGTCCCGCTGCCGAAATACCGCCGCAGTCGCCGCCCCCCAAATTGTAGCGCCCTAGGCGACAGCCTAGGTCCCCTAATGGGTTGCGCCGGCCCTGCGTGGTGGGTTGTTTGAAGGCCAGAATAAGGGATTTGGCAAAGATTTCTTTCCAATGGGATCCCCATAAAGTATGGGTTGTAGTTGTTTGATGATACCCCGTATGGGTTCCAGTGTGGGGTGGCAGATGACAACTAGGGGTGTGCAGTTGGAGGAGGTTGTATTTCTGTATTGATGCAGGTTTTCTTAGGGTATTGGGGTGGCCCGTTCTAAATCACCATGCAGCTTTGTGCTTTCCTGGTTTGGCATCACAACCCTTGGTTCAAACCGGGCCAAATTTATGAAACTTGCAAACTCTTAAAATTGCTTAATAATGGAATACAGATGTAGAGTTTCATGAACTTATGGAAGTTAGAGCTGGAAAAGACCCACTAGGTCATATCATCCATCTCCCTGCTAATACAAAGGGGTTCCCTACAATACATTTTCTAGTGATTTGTCTAATGTTAAATGTCTGCAAGAATGAAGCTTCCACAACTTCCTATAGGAGACTAGTCTACATCTGACAGATCCCACTGTTAGGAAGGTTTTTATTGACTTTTCCATATTGAATGGGACCATTAGTTGATCAAGTCCAGTTTCCTGCTTTTGTTGGTAGCCAATCCCAATTGCTTCAGAGAAAGACTAACCTCTCCTATAATTTGCCTGAATAATTGTGCAACATTGTTGACAGGTGGGAAAAAAATACCTTCCTGACCCCATAATTAATGAGTTCCTGGCCTGAAGACTCAATTACTCATCATAATGTGTATATCAACACATGCTGTCATGATTAGGGTGACCAGATGTCCCGATTTTATAGGGACAGTCCCGATTTTGGGGTCTTTTTCTTATATAGGCTCCTATTACCCCCCACCCCTTGTCCCGATTTTTCACACTTGCTGTCTGGTCACCCTAGTCATAATGGAATTGTCTACAGTGCTTTCTTGAATCCAAATGTTGTGTACTGTATCTCACACGAGACACACCTCAAAATACCAACAACAGCAAGACAAAGAGTAAAGAATAGACAAGGGGTGACAGAAACGACCCCCTCCTAAACCAATTTCTTTGATGAATGTTTGGCCATAAAGGGTGTAATCAGACACCCATGGCTGGCCTGTGCCAGCTGACTTTGGCTCCAGGCTTGAGCTAAGGGGCTGTTTAATTGTGGTCTCAGGCTGCAGCCTGAGCTCTGGGACCCTCCCACCTCACGGGATCCTAGAGCCCCGGCTCCAGCAGGGGTCTGAATGTCTATACCGCCATTAAATAGCCCCTTAGCTCCACAAGCCTGAGTCAGCTAGCACAGGCCAGCCACGGGTTTTAAATTGAAGTGTAGACATGCCTAAAGAGTCCTGTATAAACCTGTCCAGTTATCTCTATGCTCTGTCTATGCCGTATGGCCCCAATCCCGCAAAGCACAGAAGCATGTGAGCAACTTTGCACATGTGAGAGTGGCTACATGCTCCAATGCTTTGTTGGGCTGTGTGCCCGAGTCATTTTACCAAATGACTCTTCTACAGTTGTGCTCTGCTCTAGAGAAGGGAGTAGGTCTCCCTCTAGAGAGAGCACCAGGTCTTCTGGGACGAGGTTCTCCAGTGCTCCACTGACAGGGAGATGGACTGATGATCTCACCCATTTCTGATGTCTTTGATTCTGTGAGCTGTGGGGCAAAGGAGGGCAGACTGCCAGACAACTAAAAACCTGATGAAAGCTGAAGGAGAGATGCTACAGCCTATTTTTAATCTCAAAAACTTCTGCAGGCTCCAACTCCAGTTGCCTTCAAATGCTTCCCGAGCTCGTAAAGCCCCCACTTCTCTTCTTGCCGCTGCCTTGAACTTATTTCATACTCCCACCTCATTTCCTTTGCAGCAGCTTGAAGATGGGAGCAGAGAAGCAGTTTAGAGGCAACACAGAGAAATGGAGTAGGTGGGAACTGCTGAAGCAGTGGGAGGCAGCCCCGCATTGGAACATTGTGGGGAGGGGAGATGGGAGTTCTTCCCCCATGTGAGAAATCCCCTCAGGGTTTTAGCCTCCTACTGCTCAGGCTCTGATATCCAGGGTTTTACATTTGGAGCTGCTGAAGCCTGAAGTTCCATCTGTGTAGTTAACCCCTTCATTGCTGCCACCAAGACAAAATGTACTTTCAGTGCCAGGTACACAGGCTGGGAAAACTGTTGTCAGCCCAGGACAACCAAAGCCTCATCTCAGTTTCCTGGTAAACAGCAACTGTGACCTATGCTGTTCTTTGGAAACAGTACTTCCTCTATTAGCCATAACAATGAGGAATCCTTGTGGCACCTTAGAGACTAACAAATGTATTTGGGCATAAGCTTTCATGGGCTAGAACCCACTTCATTCTAGCCCATGAAAGCT